ACGAATGACTTTGTTTAAGATGTGATCACGTATAAAACGTTGATCAATCTCAATGTGCTTGGTACGAGCGTGAAAAACAGGGTTGTTAGCAAGAGCGATAGTAGAAGTGTTATCACAAAATATTTCCACTGGTTCGGAGTGAAGAACGCCAAATTCAGCAAGTAGACGTTTGATCCAGATGGTGTCGGCTGTAGCTGAAGCTAAGGCCCGATATTCCGATTCGGTGGATGAGCGGGACACCGTATTTTGTTTCTTGACAGACCACGAGATCAACGTGTTCCCAAGAAATGTACAGAACCCGGATGTAGATCGGCGGGTGGCTGGATCGGAAGCCCAGTCCGCGTCGGAATAGGTGCGAAGAAGAAGAGTGGATTTTGTAATAGGCAATCCAAAATCCAGAGATCCCTGAATGTATCGAAGGAGTTTCTTTAGCATGACCGTGTGAATTGGCTCGGGACAGTGCATATGCTGGGAGAGCATATTGACGGCATATGCAATGTCCGGTCTCGTCAATGTGAGATACTGGAGGCTTCCGATGATGCGTCTGTAGGTGAGCGCGTCAAAGAGCGGAGGATCCTCAGATTTTAATGCTGTAATTTTGGTAATAGACGGATTAGCGACCGGATTACATTTTGGTAATCCGGCCATTTGTATTATAGATTTGGCATATGAAGTTTGAGATAGAAAATACTTATCATGGAAATGATCTATTTTGATGCCGAGGAAGTGGTTTGCCGCGCCGAGTTGCTTCATAGTGAATTTTTCCTTGAGCTTAGCAACCAGTTCAGTCATTGCTTGGACATTGTTCCCCGTAAGAAGAATATCATCTACATATACTAGTAGATAGATATGTGTGATCCCTTCGTGAAAGATAAGGAGAGATGGATCAGCTTGACTATGTGAAAATCCAATTTGACGAAGATAGTTGGTAAATGTAGTGAACCACTGGCGCGGGGCTTGACGCAACCCGTAGATTGCTTTGTGTAGACGGCAAACATGAGATGGATTGGTAGCGTCTTCAAAGCCCTTCGGTTGCCGCATGAAGACAGTTTCGGTGATGTCGCCATGCAAGAAAGCATTGGCGACGTCTAGTTGTTGAACAGGCCAGTTGTGAAAGAGAGCGACCGTGAAAAGGATTCTTATAGTGGGTAGTTTGGCCACAGGACTGAAGGTGTCTTGGTAGTTGATGCCGAGCTCCTGCTGATTCCCTTGTGCAACTAATCTTGCTTTGAATCTGGCCACCGAACCATCCGAGTTGTATTTGGTGTGATACGTCCATTTGGAGCCAAGTACAGGGGCATTAGGCGGAGGTGGCACCAAGGTCCAGGTGCCCTGTTGTTGGAGAGCGAAGAACTCCTGAGCCATTGCTTGTCGCCAATGAAACTGTTTGGAGGCATCATTATACGTAGTGGGATCAGTGATAGCTTGGTCTTGATGAATAAGATTGAGACGTTGAACCGGCTTGAGAGATCCAGTCTTAGATCTGGTAGTCATCGGATGGTTGGTGATAGGAGGAGCGGGTGATGCTGTCGTAGCTTGATAGTTAGTGAGGGAAGGCGTAGCAGCACGACGAATTGGAGAACGACCAGAGTTCGTCAAAGCAGCGTCCATAGTTGAGATCGGCTGGCAACTGTTTGGTAACACCGAGGGAGGTATGAGCAGAGATGCAGGAAGTGGAGTTGCTTCGGACGTAGAGGTGGAGCTGCTGGCATGAAATGGAAAGTATAATTCATTAAATTGAACATTACGAGAGATTAAAATTTTATTGTTTGCTGTATTAAGGCAACGATAGCCCTTTGAAACTTCAGAATAACCCAGAAATACACAGGGTTGAGACGTTGGCATGAGCTTGTTGCGATGTACAGTCGGTATAAGAGGATAGCATTGACAACCAAACACACGCAGATGTTCGTATGAAGGTTGAATGCGGAACATTTTAGTGAGCGGAGTCATATTGTTAATGGTCAGAGAAGGCATGCGATTGATTAGGTAGACTGCCGTTTGAGCCGCTTCAAGCCAAAATGTCATAGGAAGAGCTGCCGTGTGAAGAAGAGTGCGGGTGGTAGAAATAATGTGGCGATGCTTTCTTTCCGCCACGCCATTTTGTTGTGGAGTATAGGCACACGAGTATTGATGTCTAATCCCTGCAGTTTTGGTGAAGTTCTGAAAAGCATTATTAAGAAACTCACCACCGCCGTCGGTTCTAATTGTTTTGAGTTTAAGTGATGTTTGACGTTCAATGAAATTAGTAAAAGAAATAAAGATGTTAGTAACATCAGATTTATGCAGTATAGGAAATAGCCAAGTAAAACGAGAGAAGTCATCAACGAATATAACGTAATAGCTAAAGCCTTGATGAGACTGAATTGGGGATGGTCCCCAAACGTCTGAATGGACGAGTTCCAGAGGAGAACTCGTGCGGCTTACCGAATTATCAAAGACAAGTTTGTGACCTTTACAAGACATACAAGAATTACAGACAGACTTAAGCGGTAAAATATGTAAAGAGGGATTATGGTTGGAGATGTGCTGCAGGACTTGGTGATGGGGATGACCGAGCCTGCGATGCCACTTATCGGTGGATGCCTTGGATGCACTCAACGCTGTAGACGGATAGCTGGATCCAGTTGATGGGATCTTGTAGATTCCTTGGCTGCACGGTCCTTCAAGTATAACTTGATTTGTCGACCGGTCCTTAAATACAAAGCCATGTTCATCAAATGTAATGGAAATATGGTTATCCCGTACTAAATTCGAAATAGAAAGAAGATTGAATGCGAGAGAAGGGATATGTAAAAGTTTGGATAGAAAAAGCTTACGATCCGGGGTAGGAAGAATGCCCGAGCCGGAATGGGCAATTGGGACAGATCTTCCATCCCCAAGCGTTACCGTATCGTGGCCAGTGTAGGAGTTGTACACTTCAAGATTTCCGGTTGTATTCGTCATGTGAGATGACGCTCCGGAATCAAGATACCAATCGGTGGTGGACGCTCCGTCAGTTTGTGCTGCGAGCGCATTATTTGTTTTGATCGGAGGATTGGTTGGAGTGTAATTGGGATTGAGACGATGCCAACATGCCTCGGCACTGTGACCTTTCTTCTTGCATATTTGACAGATAACAGGCGTGGTGGAGGACGTGCCTTGCGTTGAGGCATTGTTATTCGATTGTCTGCCGCGGCCACGTCGGCCACGTCCACGAACAGAGTACAATGCAGACTGAGTTTCCGGGACCTTTGGAAATTTTTGAGCCGCTGTCTTGAGATGAATCTCCTCACTTATGAGAAGAGCGTATAGAGTATCAAGAGACAGCGAACCTTGCATCGTGCGAATGGTGGTTGTAAAGGACTGGTATGCCGGAGGTAGTCCATTCAGAATGTAAATGATAACATCCTCGGGATCTACTGTTGAGCCGGCGGATGCAATTTGATCCACGATTTTCTTGATCTCAGTAAGATACTGAGTCATGGACATCGTTTGCATCGAAATATTGTGAAGCTCGTGTTTCAATTGAATCACCTTAGATCGATTAGAAGCTTGAAACCGAGTGTGGAGAGTTGTCCAAATATCATATGTTGATTCAAGATGAATCACATAAGGAAGAACCGCCGGAGATATGGTGGAGCACATCGCCGTCGCCAAGTTTTGATCGGTGACCAGCCAAGATTGAGAATCTTGATTTGGATCAAGATTTTCGGACAGAGTTTTGGATTCAAGAAATCCCGCGAATCCATTTGCCCGAAAGAGTTTGGCGATTTGAGTGCTCCAGATCGGAAAATTGTCCGGAGTGAGTGCGTGAGGTACCAAGAACTTGAGATTTGAGATGACAAATTTTAACGAGGAGGAGATGACCGGAGAAGAGGCGGCGGCAGCGGATGCTGTACCGGTGGATGAGGACGCCGGAGCTTGATTGGCCATGGCGAAGGACCTCAAGAACGCCCAACTCGTGATACCATGTAGAAGTTTACAGAACAGAGAAGATAAAGTAAAGAAGAATATTATTTGATTTCTTAATTTTATTACATACAGGTTATACATATATATATAGTAGTGTAAGAGGAGAGGTACACATGTAATAATCTGATTGGATCAAATGGCAGCATAAGTAATATAAAGAGCTGCTCTTAACAGATTTAGGCTTCGTTTGGGACGGCTTTTTTATTGCTTTCTAAAACGGAGTTTTAGTACAAATTTTTTTATTTTTGTATTAAAACTCCGTTTTAGAAAGTAGTAAAAAAGCCGTCACAAACGAAGCCTTAGGGTTTAGACCAACAAATCTTATTAACAAGCAACAATCAGTAAATATCAATCATAACAAAGACAATTTCACAAACTTCTTTAGCAGTAATAATCTTACATTAACCAAAATTAGCTAAGAAAAAGAAAAAAACAAACCAAGCAACAATCCATCCATCTATCAGATTTATATTCAACCAATAATAAAATGAATTCAATGGGAGCCTAATTTGATAATATATTTATCTAAAAATAAAGTTAATAGCTATTAAAATCAACTCAATGAAATTAAAAAAAAAAAAATATTAGCTTCCAACACCTTCACTAAAAAATACTATTGAGATAGCGAGATCATACAAAATTTATTTTATTTTTGCAAACTCAAAAATATAAAATCAAAATTAAACAATAATCCAATGATTGCTTTATTTCGACAAATCAATAAGCAAATAAAACACAACTATTTCGATTTCAAAGAAGAATATATTTATATATAAAGGAACCAAAGAAATGATCAAAATCGAAAATCTAGCGACATATATAACGAAATATTAAAATAAGAATATATTTATATATAAAGAGAGACCACTAAGTGATACATAAATAAAATAGAGTCCATGAATCAAGTGATACAAACAGCTGGTTCATGCTGAAATATTATGCATTCTTCACATTTCTTATATATATCAAACAAATAAGATAAAGAAGAAACAAGTTTGCTTTTGTATTTTGAAACTTTCACTAAAGTAGTTGGACCTATTATATTATCAGGGATCAATACGGATATCGGGAATGTGAGCAATCTTTTGCCGATCGGAGCCTCCATCCTCTCGGTAGCGCTCATGTAACTCTGGATGACAACTCCAAATTACTAGCCTTTTCAAAGAGGGAAGAAGGTTCGGTAATTCCCGAAGCATAGGAGGCAAAGAGGGCAACTCTTTCAACTTCGGGCAGTCACGTATAGATAATTCAATTAAGCAAGGAAACAAACGTCCATCTTCAGCAGCTACTCCTGCCTCAAACCAATCCTCTAATGCTGTTAAGCAGTAAATATCTAACAGCTCTAGCAATGGAAAGGCACGGTATTTATCATTCCCATTAAATTTACTTTCGAGCCATTTTACTTTTGGCATGTTATAAAGGCTCAGAGACTTGAGAAAGGGAAGTTGCCCAAAAGGTGGAAGAGTTTCACACTCCAAGCAACGTACCAATTCGATTTTCTCTAGATTGTAGATCGGATTGACATTGTTCATCCATATTGCACACCTTGCACCCATGTAATGACTTATACTCAGATTCCTTAGACAATTTGGTGGCTGAAGGTTGTCGAGCACGTTCTCATCTAAATGGATGTTCCACGAATTAGCGTTACACCAACATAAGTTTAAATCTTTGAGCCTCCTCTTGGAACATAATTTGGCACTACAAGCCTCCTCGGCGTCCTTCACATTTTCAAAGTAGGTGATTCCTAATTTGCAAAGATCATTCATATTCTCCAGCTCCCCAATTCTATAACCACTCTCATCTCTAGGATGAAACATATCCAGTTCTTGAAGAAACTTTAGCTTCCCAATCCCACATATTGATGACATATAACACCCGGGTAATTTCCCGTAACGCAAGTTTGAAAGGTTATTAATGTCACTTGGTAAAAAATCAACTTTAAATTGGTTTGTATTAATCCATGGCATAAGCCAGTTGCTATAAAAGATTATGTATTGCAAGTGATAGAGATTACTTAGAGATCTTGGTAGCCTGGTCAAATTATAATCATCAATCTTTAAGTATCGAAGATGTATCAAATTTCCAATCTCCTCAAGTATCTTTTCCAAGTCTTTAGCAAATACGTATAATAAGCGTAGGCTTCTACATGCTTTGAATATTTCAGTAAGTGCACCGCAAAGATCCCGATTAGAACCTTTATTGAACAAGAAAAGAGAATGCAAATGTTTAAACTTTCCAATCCTTCTTAAGATGTCTAGATCTGTAGTTTGAACAGACAAGTGTCGAAGAGTCCCGGGAATTATCGAAGGCAACTTTATACTATCCTTAACTCTTAAACATTCCTGTATGGAAACTAACTGTGCCAATTCATGTAGTAAATCATGCATCTTGTAGTACGAAGAATTTTCATAGACTTTGTCAAACTTTTCAAAGAAAGATTTTTTAACCAAAACATCAAAATACCTTCCGCCGATATCCTCCATAGACTCTTCTTGATCAAGAAATGGCTTAATAAAACCCAATGCAATCCACATTCGGATTAAATCATCTTTATCAAACTCATGATCATGTGCGAACATCCCGCAAAATGCGAAACAACTTTTTAAAGGATTTGACAGAACTACATAGCTCAGTCTTAAGATGGAATCGATAGAATTCTGACCCAATAAATTGCTTTCTAGAACTGTCCTCCAACGCCTTTCATCCAAGTCAAGAGAATTTAGAACGCCACCAATGACCTTTGCTGCCAAAGGAGAACCTGAAAGCTTTTTAACTATCTCTCCAGCAATTGCTCTTAATCTTTTATGATCATCAGGGTTCTCTACGCCATCAAATGCATGAGAGTTGAGGAGCTGCAAACACTCATCTTCTTCTAGGCCCTCTAATTTTACTATTTCCTTCTTCTTTTTAATTACCTTTGCAAACATCAGTGCAACTGAGTCCGTTCGAGTTGTTACCAGAATCTTACTACCAAAACCCCCAGAAGCTAGAGGAGCGAGCACATCCTCCCATTTGCTTTTATCCTTCTCCTCATCCTCCTCCCAAATATCATCCAGCACAAGTAAGAACTTTTTGGACATCACCTCCTCATCGAGAAGCCTTTGAAGTGCCACAAGTGTCTCCAAACGAGGCCTCTCATTCTTAAGACATTCGAACATATCTGCAATAACTTTTTTCACATCAAAGTTGTTGGAAACACAAACCCACATTTTACGATCAAAGTCCTTCGTAATTTCATCTTTATATACATGTTGCAAGAGAGTTGTCTTCCCCATACCACCATGGCCCATTATAGATAGAAGAGAAATGTTTCTGTACAAATCACTTCCCCGATGCTCATTTGATGGATTCCTCAGCCACTCCATAAGAAGCTCTTTCTCCTTGCGCCGCCCGATGAGAACATGTTTAGGCAAATATCCTGTTTCACGTGTTTTGTAGAAATCAACCTCCTGCTCCTTCTGTTCCTGTTTCGCGCTGTCTAAAAGATGAAGGAAAGTAGTAACATCAGCCGAAACTTTATCAAGTTTCTGCACAGCCTCCTCCAGTCGCTTCAAGTTGGGATCCATTTTGAGAACACGCTCGCCAATTTTGAAAATTTTACGAGGAATTTCAAATATGAAGCTCGTGACCTTTCGTTTCTGGTCAAATTAATTAGAAATAGATTATCTAATAAATAAAAAAGTAAATATATTCGCGAGCAGAATCAAATAGGAAGCTCCTGCAGGTGGCGGAACGCACCTTTGTTTCTTCCGTGTTTTTGGTGAGCTGTTCTTTATGCTTCATGTACTCGAACTCATCGAGCACATCATCTGCCTCATCAATAGCATCTCGCAGCTGCCATATCCATTTGTTGAAAGCCGGGTTCTGATCGCAGATCTGTGCTTGGTTAGCGGCAAAGACGATAGCTTGGATCTTCGGGTGGTTCTCTCGCAGGCTTTCCAGTTCCTTCTTCATGCTCGTCTGCCCTCCGACTTGATCTTCCAGGTAATCAGCGCAAGCGTTGATGATCTTCTCCATGATTGGACCTACAACAAATTCCGCCATGGCACCGACGATCGAGTTGTGAGGGCAGAACAACTGAACAGTAGGAGAAACAGAGCTCGGAAGAGAAAGAACTCTAGCGGGAAATGGTCACCTGCAGTCTAAGTAAAACAGAAATTAGATTATTATTTTATGTTCATTTTCTGTGGTATGTTATGTAAGGAATTTTATATTTAGATATTTATTATGATATTCTATTATTAGAAAATAATATCTAAATGTTTGTAGATTTTGATAGAATAGTTTTTTTCTACATAAAATTATATTATGAATAAATTAAATATAGCACGATTAGTTGAATTATATTATTATTTTACTTTTTTACTAACAATTTAGTTGTAATATTTGTTAAAGCTATAATTTATATATATATATATATGATTAAGTTGCTGAAACTATAAAAATTTTTGTGGGATTGAAAAATCTTAAAATCTTTTGAGCATGTAATTTGACATTTTAGATTCTGACTAATTAAACTGTTTGATATCGATTGGGCTATCCAAATATATATCCTCATGAACGAAAAATTTAAAAATTTGTCATATAATATATTGTTTAGAGCTTATTTTTTTATATTCATAAATATGTTCATTAGTTGTTTAATAAATAGTTTTTTGAAAAAAAAAAAGATAAAATGATGATCTAATGTGGATTGAATATTTTTTGATGATTAATTTATTTTATGTTATTGTTACATTTTTTTTTTATATAAATTCTATGTTTTAAGCAAATGCAGTGAATTTCATTCTAGCTCTAAGCCTCTAAGTAAAACATACAAAGCACGATAAGATGATATTAGTAATTTGAAAATTCAATTGCAATATGTAAAGACAGACATAGAATCGTATGAATTATGTATAGAGAGCAATTGTTACAATTTGTTGTCCACCAAATCCTCAAAATGATTGCTTTAGTGTCTTATTTGATCAACAGATTTTGATTTATCCCAGAATAAAATGCTGGAGGAAAGGCTAATAGTAAAAGGAATAAGATGTGAATTGGAAGTCTAATTTGGTAGATAGTATGAAGTGTTATTTTAGCATCTATTTGTTCTAAACTTTATGAACCTTAATCAATAATATTGTTTGTGGAAATAACTTTTTTTATAATTATAATAACTAAGTTAATTTCTAAGAAAAAATTAATTAGGTCCCTTATTCATTTCAAACTTGAGAAAGTCCATTTGTAGCCAAAATAAATAAATTAAATTAATAAAATAAAGTATCTCAATATTTTTTTATAATATTTAAATCAAAACTCCACATCATATTTAAGAAAAAGCAAAGCCTACTACATATTATTATTTTACTAAGCTAATGTTGAATGAGTTTTGTCAAACTAAACTTTTAATAAGAATTAGTCCTCATAGAATATATATATATATATATTAATAAGAATTAGTCCTCATAGTAATAATATATATATATATATATATATATATATATATTATATATTATATATATATATATTTTATACGTCCAATCAATAAATATCAAATTTACTTTTTATTTTTTTTATTCGTATTGTAGAAATCATCCTTTCCCATTTTATGAAACTTTGAAAATTTAAGCTTAGAAAAATTAGAAAATCCCAAGGAATCTTTGATTTGCTTAAAAATAAATTTAAAGTAAAAGGAATACAATATATTTGAAATGATTTAGAATTATTTAGATGAGCTTAAAGCAAATAAAAATAATAATAATCATTTTTTGTTTAAAGTAAAATCAATGTAGTATAAAACTCAATGATGGTGGTTAGCGATGATAAGCATTGACAGCTACCAGTGGTGGGTGGTGACCGGCACTAGGGCGGCAATGGCGGCCAGCAGTGTTTTCAGCAATGGAAGATAATTTGCAATAATTTGATACTCGAGAAATTAAGTATAATGATTTTCAAATATATCAAAACTGAAATATACAGTGAATTAAAAATACTTTAAAATTTTACTTTTTATTCCTTTAACTTCATGCTAAACACAAATATTTTCAAAATCCTTATATTTGAAATGCTTTACACTTATTTTATTTTACAAAGCTCTCTAAGAAAAAAACTATATTTAAAACAATACCTTACTCAAAAAATATAAATACTAAAATTTTATGGTAAAATAAATAGTTAAATACTAGAATTGAGTGTTTCTAAAAATTTTAATGAATCATCTTTTAATTATTTAAATAATATATTAATATCTTATATATATATTTTGAAAATATATGTGAAATTTGATATTTTATTCTATCCCGCTCAAAAAATATTTTTAGCGTCAAACCTACGCTGCATACTTTACATTATTCAAATAATATTTATGCCGTTAATTTCTAAGAAAAAAAATGAATTATGTCCCTTATTGCATTTCAATTTGAGAAGTCCATTTGTAGCTAAAATAAAAATATAATATAATATAATATCTCGATATTTTTTGATAATATCTAAATCAAAACTTCCCTTATTGCATTTCAATTTGAGAAGTCCATTTGTAGCTAAAATAAAAATATAATATAATATAATATCTCGATATTTTTTGATAATATCTAAATCAAAACTCCACATCATATTTAAGAAAAACAAAGCCCACTAAGTATTTTTATTTTTACAAAGCTAATGTTGAATGAATTTTTTGTCAAGCTAAACTTTTAATAAGAATTAGTCCTCAGAATAATAAAATAATAATGTATTTAATATGTCCAATCAATAAATATCAAATTTACTTTTTATTTTTTCTTATTTGAGAAATGAAAAATTATAAAATCTTAAGGAATATTTGATTTGTTTAAAAAGAAATTTAAAATAAAAGGAATACAATATATTTTTGAAATTTTTTGGAATTATTTAGATGAGCATAAAACAAATGAAAATAATAATTATTATTTTTCTTTAAAAGTAAAATCAATATAGCGTAAAGCTTAATAATGATGGCTAGCGATCATAAGCATGAGCGGCGACTAGTATTGGGTGGTGAGTGGCACAACGCACAAGGCGACAATGGCAGCGGGAAGTGTTTTCCGCAATGGCAGATAATTTGTATTGTTTTGATACTTGAAAAAGTATAACAATTTTCAAATACATCGAAATTGAATTATAGGGTGAACTACAGATACTTTAAAAATTTATTCTTTATTCCTTTAAATTCAAGCTAAATTAATTCTTTTATTCCTATTTTATTTTACAAAGCTCTCTCTAAGAAAAAAACTATATTTAAAATAATACCTTACTGAAAAATATAAATACTAAAATTTATGATAAAATAAATAATAGAATTGAGTGTTTCGAAAAATTAAATGAATCAACTTTTAATTATTTAAATAATATATTAATATGTTATACATATTTTGAAATTATACATAAAATTTAACATTTCATTCTGCCCTGCTCAACAAATTTTTAACGTCAAACCTACGTAATTGTAAATATAAACAACAGTAATAGTATGAAGGTTTTATTACTATATGTGGGTCGGCTAATTAATTAAAAATGTCATAATAATTAAATGTATATAAAATAAAACTTAACAGCTAATTAATTAAGATTTATGTTATAGGAGTCTTAAAATAAATTTAATAATAATAGAATCTGTAAATGGGAAGAGAGAGAGAGAGAGAGAGAGGATTGATCAATAGGTGAAGAGAGTTTGCAAGAGGGAAAGACGGATGCAGAAGAAGGTGGTTGTGGTTTGTAACCTTGTGGGCTTTCTAGTACTTCTTTCAGCTGCTCTTACATTTGTTGCGAAGGCTTAAAGTATTAGGATTAGCTGCCTTCTCCTAATTATTCTTCCATGTTGAGACTACTTATTTTGTTGAACTAGTTAAGGATGCGCCACTATTCATTTATCTATATTTGGTAGTTTTGTTCAATTTTAGGCTTTCGAGGGGTTGCGTCCTGGATTATTTGTGGCGACATAGAATTTTAAAGTTTAACGTCTTAGTTTTGTATGAAGATCCAACACACAATCAGATAAAAAATAGGGTGTAGCGTTCATAAGAGACAACAGAGTTTTTACGTGAAAATCTATAAAAAGGGAGAAAAATTACGGAGCCTAGCACAGTTTAAATAAATCCACTAGTGTATGCAGTCAATTACAAATTAGATCCTTCCTAGGGGGGAAGGCTTTGGCTCAATGTTGTAAATATATATCTTATAAAGTGCATTACATGGTGGGAATTAAAAGAACTAGTAGTGACATGTTCGTTTAGTCAATAGGAACATAATTGGCGGGTATGGAGGTAAGAGATGACCTTAGTCGGGTGACGGTGGTCTGAATGATCGTAGTCAGTGGAGACGGAGGTTGGAAAGACTACACTGGTGATGGTGATCATAAGGACCGTAGTTGAAGGTCGACGGAGGTCGGAAGGATCGTAATATGGAAATGGAGGTCGGAAGGACCGTAGTCGGTGGGCGACATTAGTTAGAAAAATCATTGTTAGGATGACCAACAGAGGTCAGAAGGACCACAATCGACATATAAAAGTAGTTAAGAAGATTGTTATTTGATAACAAAGGTTGGAAGGACTGTACTCAACGGGCGATAATGGTTTGAAAAATCGAAGTCTGGCAATGGAGGTTCGAAAGACTATAGTCAACGCGCAACGAAGGTTGGAAAGATCATAGTTTAATGACGGAGGTCGGAAGGACTGTATTTGATGGGCGAGAGTGGTCAAAAAGACTGTTATCTGCTCACATAAGTCAAGACCGTAGTTAACAGGTGATGGAGGTCAGAAAGATCGTAGTAGGATGACAATGGTCAAAAGAACCGTAATCGGTGGCCGACGGAAGTCAGAAGGGCCATAATATAATGATGGAGGTTAGAAGGACCATAGTCAATGGGCAATAGTGGACAGAAAGAGTATTGCCTGACAACAGATGTTGGAAGGACCGTAGTCAACAGGAGACAATGGTCAGAAAGACTGTTGTCTGGTGACGGAAGTCAGAAGAATCGTAGTCGACAAATAACAATGGTCAAGAAGACTTTTTTTTGGTGACAGAGGTCGGAAGGACCGTAGTCAACTAGCAACAGTAGTCAGAAAGATCATAATCTGGCGATAGAGGTTAAAA